ACAACAGTATATATTTTATCTTTTTTTTTTTACATTTTAGGGGAAGCTGAGCTTCCCTTGCAGTCTTAGAGAAATCGCCTCTGATCTGCACATAAATAAAAACATTTTATTAATAAAGGTAGAAAACCTGATATCTGATACGTCATCATGAACTTATTTCAGTTTTTTAGGGTTCAGTTGCAGTTGGACTGTCACACTGATTTCAGTCATACTTGAAAAATTCTAAAAAAGATTATACAGATTCAACCTAAAGAAACCAAATGTTTAAAAAGGTTTGTAGAATCAGATGAGTGAAGAGCTCACCTCTACAGACTCCTAACAGCATCAACATGAGTCCAACCACAGCTTCCATCTCTTTACTGCAGCTTTAGTTGATCAGTCGCTGAACAACAAAAATGAACTGTTTCCTGATTTTCATCGACCTTTGATCAAAACCTGATCACATGCTGAGTATGAACGGGCAAAAGAGGAAGTGAACTTAAAAATGTACTTTTCAAAAAAAAAACTTGTCTTTAAATCACATCATGATTTATAAAAACTTACAGAATAACTGCACAGATCTGTAMTTTTCTCAGTATTACTCTTTTATTGACAGTCTCACCATCATGTCTGCAGTTTATTTTGTCTGCATCCAGGAGCTTTTAGAAAAAAGTCTGATTTAYACTTTGAAACCAAAACCAATAAAGACAGGATGTGTTTGATTATGCTTTATTTCTCAGGCCATCTTTCTCTCTTTTCTTGTTCTTTTTTCTTAAAGAGAGAACTAACTAATGAGAATTAGTTAAAGAAGGATTTGTTCACTAATATTTGTTTGAAAGGTAAAGGCCTTTATCGAGCTGAGTTTCTTTTAAAAATACATAAGTTTTTAATATCACACTTTGGAAACAATAATGCTTGTTTAACAGCAGGAAGAAAATTCGCTCCCACTAATAATGATGATGATGATCAAAGTTACAATAATACAAGTCTTCAACAATAAAAATAGAGGATATGAATTTTTTTTTACAAAACAAATAAATCAACCTCACTTTTAAAAGCTTGCTTTTAGTTGAAAGTTTCAAAAAGGCTTGCTGWCATTAAAATGCTGAACTTCTCTTTTCAGCCACTACATGGCAGGGTTCTCCTGTTCCTCTGTCACCTGTGAGCCCACGGTCTTCAGCTTTTCAATTTTCTTTTTCTTCCAGTTGAAGTACAGACACATGAGGATCAACAGAAGAATTATCACAGCAAATCGTATTCCACAAACGAGCAGCGAGGATGGACCTGTTCAAAGACACAAAATAACATCAAACCAAATGAAAATTAATTTCTTTAAACAACCACTCAGGTATGTGTGTCCAYTTAGACGTCCAGTTAATGAGTATATGTAAAAATAATCACCATAACCATCAGTCTCACAAAGATCAGAACTACTTTTCATCCTGTTTTCACTCAGGTAGATATCTGAGTGTCTTTGGACAAATGACCGACATGATTCCTGACTGAGCAGATCAAATGTCCTGAGACGGTTTGTCTCAGAACAATGATGTTTGTGGTCATATTTATTAATTAATTAATTAATTAATTAATTACTACAAAATCAATTTGAGTGTTTTAGTTTAACAGTTCATTTTTCAGAGCATTGACAGGAAAATATTACAACTAACTCAGCTTTTACAGGAACTCATCATCATGAACTTCAGCATGAAACMTTTAATTTATCAAAAACACCAATGACAGAAAAACAATGTCTRTATTTTTCTTTAAATTTTATAGCAGAACTCTGAAATGAACAAACATGGCATCTGTTCTGTTTCAACAAGAAAAGCAGAATGTGTTTTAAACTCAAAAACATCACTTTTTTGTAAAATTAAAGACCAACTGAGGAAATAACTGAACCTACTGCAGGAGTTTGTTTTTACTTACTAATATCACTGTTGGTTTGATTGAAGGATGAGTTATTAATGGTGTGTTTAGTTAACTCAGTCTCCTTACCCACAGTACTGTGTGGAGCTGTTGTAGGTGTTATTGTAGGTTCAACACACAGAGTGTTGTTGGCTTTAAACACCCACTCAGATATGTTTGTGTAGCAGAATGGGTGTTACCTGTAGCAAGTTCACTGAGCAGGTAAATTGGTTGGCCAATCACCAGAAGGGGGTGCCCTACTT